CCTGGGCACCGCCATAGTCCTCCTCGGTCTTCGTAAATTGGCGTGACCCCTCAAAAATGCACTGACAACGCTGCGCCCTTAGCCTTTGTACTCCCGCGCGCAGCCCATCATGGCGGTGCTTTTTTTCTTCATTCCTGTGAGAAGGTGGATACTCATAGCGTTGTTTCGAAAGCATATATATATATATATAGTCAAGTCTGATGAAGGCCAGACTCTAGGCCGAAACGTCGAAATAAACCACGTTGTGACCGCTCACGGAGGATCTACTTGACTATATGCAACGCTACGGCCACTCAACCACCATGCCTGCCTATATATATATATATATATATATATATATATATATATATATATATATATATATATATATATATCCCGAACCTCTCTATCAGTCTGGTTATGTCACTATCACGTCGTACTGTACAGTGCGATGGCCTTCTTCTACGCATTTTATTAACTGCAATACGTAGCATCGGTTTAGTCTATTTTCGTATTCAAAAGGTACCGTGAAGAGCAACAAACAGTGTAGTTACCTGTCAGCTCATTCTCCAATCTCTGTACAAATGCAAATCAGAGTATTAAATATCAGGTCTAATGACCTGAGTTCTGGAATACATGTGACACATCGAAAACGCAACATCACGCTTGAAATTGGAGGGCAACAATCAGCCACAGACACACACTCTCCGTGAATACTGTTTCATGTGGATGCCTTCATGCTCATGCGTCCGGCGAAGAAGGACGACCCTTTTAAGCACATGCCGGCGCAGAAACCACGACAGCGTACGACGAGTTTTCTTTCTTTTCAAGGTTGGCGGAAAAAAAAGAGAAGACGAGACCGGGCACGTCAACAAGAGAACCGGCGAGAAATACACCTCGCCGCTTTCCTCGTCAGTTATTCTTTCCTTCCTCTCGGTAGAAAAAAAAAATAGCGTCGCTCTCCGCCTATCTCCTTCTCTCCGATTCCTTTTTCTTTACGTTCCACCACTACGCCGTGCGCAACGGGCGCATTCAGTAAAATACGACAGCTGGAAGACCCCGAAGACGCCAGGGCTACGCGCGGTCAGGTTTATCATTGTCTGTGTATTTCTCGCTCGCTTTCTTCGCCGCTTTTGGGGCATCGTGAGTGCGCCGGCAACACTTGACCCCCAGGGGTTTCCAACACGTCCTTGAAAGCAGCTCTCGGTCATAACTTTTTTTTTACTTCTTTCACGTTCCCAATGGTGGCACACGTGTCTGACACCTACGACGAGTCTGCCTAGCGTGGGCGGAAACGGGCGACTACGACGATGCGTCACGCAAACGCAGAGTAAAAAAAAAAAAAAGAAGAGAGCGCGTGATAAGATTACTAAAGCCTCGCACTGAAAGTGGCGCGCAATTTGAGCTGTAACACTGTGTACGCGGAGCAGAAGTGTGATACCAACCGGCGATCATAGGGTTGGCTGATCCCGCTGGTAGTCCCACTGAGGGGCAAGCGGGGACACCCCTTGCAAGTGTCCGCACGTGAGATTTATCTGTCAGACATGAAAGTTTGAGTTGCTTGATGTTGCGTACTCTCCTTAAAAATTAGCCCGGAAATCTGAAGTGCATCCAATGAGTAGAAACGAAGTATAAAAGAAAAAGTGAAAGCTCCTTTTCGTTTGAAATGGCGCCGACGTGCCGTAAGTGAATATTACGCTATGTTATGATGGGCTTTGAAGCGCGGAGTAATTAAGGAATCCCCGATCATCTGCTATAGTTTATGTAGACTAGCACCCGGCAACCTTTTGAGCCAAAGGGCCAAATTACATGAAGCTCACAAGGCTGTAGGCCGCGCGGTAAGTCATGGAAGGGGGGAGGGGGGCTACAGGCTAAGAAAAAAATTCAGCGAATAGACTAAGGCGCAAGACTGCCTAAGTTTTGGCTATACTATGGGTAAATTTCAGCTAGGTCTGAAGATGGGGCACAGTGCCAAATGAAAGCAGTGTTTCTTTGAAAGTGCATGTCTAACCACACTTGACATCCAAAGCGTCATTTCGACCTTATGATGGGAAGTGGCAATGGGAAAGGAGTAGGTTCTGAAATCGCCCCGGGGGCCGCATAATGCTGTCGAGGGGGCCACATACGGCCCGTGGACCACAGGTTGGCGACCCCTGGTGTAGACGATTTGCTGGAAGCCGATGACAATGAATTATCAATGCGATTGCTCGAACATGATTGTTACTTATAATAAAAAATAGCTAGTGAACGTAAACACGGTTTACAAAAGAAGATTGTAGGGATGTATCCTGGGAGGCTAGCAGTTATACGCCATGCGCGCTAGAGCTAGAAGTCAAGAGCTGCACGTTTACGATTTATTTTAAAAAATCCGAGCAGCTTCATTTGCTAGATGCTATAGCTACAAGTTACACTTAGAAACTATAGCTTTGACAACTAGTGCATGCTCAGGTCGACGCCCGACTTTCTTCTTTGAAAACGCGATTTGAACTTTCATGTAAGCAAAATTAATCGTATATTTATAAAAAATAAGTGGTCGCCATGGCATAAAAATGCCCCCCCCCCCCCCCTCTCACCCTGCTTTCGAGATTTTTCTGATTTCACGTGAGCCACATTGCATATGCAGGCGGGGTGGAGGAGAACGGGCTTTAAATATATAATGGGGTGGGTGGGGGACGCAATGCTGCTCTATAGCTTAAGACATTCGAACCAATCACGTTACGCTGTAATACGCACGGTTATGCATGTATGGAAAAAAGTTTATTTTGTGGTAACTCCCATGGGTTACTTTGTTGTTCGCTAAGCCTGGTGGACATTATGTTGCAACAATCCGTGCACCAACAGCCACAATGGCGACAAACTAATGTCCCGTATGTGCGTGAACCGTCATTTTGTATTTTACACTTCCAGTATTCTTCACTGCTTCGGCCAAGTTCGTTGTGACAGAACATACTACATCGCGTTCAAACATCCTGCATCGCGAAATGTCAAAGTGCTGTGACCATCACTCGTTATTCCAGAAGCTCTCAAACAGTCGATACAGCTTTTACTGATGTCTTCGCGTGAGGCAGCAAGTTGATGTTGAAGCCCTGAACGCCCGATTGCGCTGTTGGCGTCCGCTAAACAACTGGCTTAGTTGAGCAACCATATCACATTTGGAGTCTGGCGAAGGCTGGTTAGTGATAGCTTTCACTATCTTCAGTAGCTCTATGAACGTTATAGTGGATCTTTTGTTGAAATTTGTTTCTTCGTCCAGATATGATGCGAGCTGCGGTCACTGCGAGGTTTCAGCAACCTATCAGAGGTCATCGAGATCTAAATGTCCGAACATGGGGTCACTATTATCAAGTCGTTGTGCATACAACCCTCAGCTTTCCGAGTCACACCAGGAAGTCAGTTTCAAGCCGGCTTCAGATCACGGACTATCACTAGCTCTCCGAAAAGTCACACGTCGACTCATTTGATAAAACGGCAAGCTCAAGTTGAAGCGCTGAAGTCGGTGGATAAACAGACAAACACAGATACAATTCTGGAAACTTCCTCGGCGACTAGGCCAAAGAATCCCTATCAGCAATCAGTGAAATAAATAAACGTAAGATAACTCATTTCACTACGCCGGTTGGCATTACTTGCATGTTTCGTCAATGCCGTTTTTTTTTTCCTCTCTCTCTGTAACCAAGTTCATCACCAGTTAACACGTTATTGAGCGCTGAGTTGTGGTTACGAAGACACGAATGTTTCGTGTCCCTGTGCAATCAGCTTGCCCCAAAAAAGGTCTGCTAAAAATAACTGGTTACGGATTCGTCCTACAGTGCACATTTTAAAAAAATGGGCTGAAAAATTATGTACAGTAGATTAGCGAAATCTTTCAAGGATGCCAGTGCTAAAGAGCCTGAAATCTCTGCTCTACTAGAGCCAAAGAAGTAAGAAAAATATCAGTGGGATTCAAGCAAGTATGGCTGTTACGTGAAATTCAGTAAATTCGGCGCACGTTCTCGCAAATCATCCTTTCCTATCATTTCGTATTCGACACGCGCCTGCACAGCGATTCTGGAAGAAAAAAAAATGGGAGTAACTCAAATGGAGAACTCACGAAAGCAAGCTTCAAAATACGGAACGAGATGAAAAGGATTCTGGCAACGTGCTGCGATCAATAGCAGCCACACAACAAACCATGCGTGCTGCCAACTGCAGCGGGAAGGACCAATCAGGCTCGCAAGCAGACGACGCCGCTCACATGCGCGCCGGCTTGGACAGCTGTTTTTATCCGGCCGCGCCGCCGATATTTCGTTTTGGTATTTTTACGCTCAGGGAAAGGGCGAAGCCGTTGTGACGTACTGGGTTTCAGAGAAATTCCTGCGCTGCACTTGTAGGGATGCAGGGGCATCTTTTCATTCTTTTTCTGATAGCGTATACTATTTATATACTATATACTTGCGCTAAACCGTTCAATACGACTACGCGTTTTCGAGAGGAAGGACGTACACAAACAACCAGCTGTCATCGCTGGTTAATTCTATTGCTGGCGATCTTATGTTTCTCCCTCAGTTTTTACTACGGCAGAACAGTGTGCTATTTGTTAAGTAGAAAATCTCCCGTATATTTGAGTCTCATGTGTCTTCTAGAGACAGGAATGCAGTATGGTAATCCACGCGTGTGAATGCTGCTGTTTTACTGCTGCTGCAGGGAGGACAATAAACGGCTGTCGTTCGTCATAATGGAGGATTTGCTCCCGTTCTTTGCCAAGAACTCACAACCATCGCTGCCCCGTAAAAGGAACCATCGGCGAACATTGAATTTCATAAACAGTCACCGTCAGGAGAGATCTACGCTACTATACATACAGTCAATGTTGTCACTGTACACAGCGCAGACTTATTTCAGCAAGATATCCGTGAAATGCTAAGGTAAATAGGCGTTGCAGAAGACGTCAATCTGCCTGCATGGAAGTCGCCTACAAGCGCAGTCCCCGCTGTGTACTCGCGAAATGCTCCGCAGAGGTGCCGGAACATTCATTCACTCACCTTAGGCGGCGACTTGGCCAGCTTCTCGTTGAGCGCCTGAATCCATGGCTTAGACAGGAACTCGTGCTCCTTTTGCGCTAGCACCCACGACAGGACCCGGTTGGTCCAAAGCACGGCGTCAGGGTCAGAACCCGAGGCCGAAACCGCAAATGGCACAGGTTCCTTCGCGTTCGCCCACCGGCCGGCCGCGGCCGCGTGCTGTTCATGGGCGCTCCCGGCGGAGACGGTCTCCTCGACGGGCTCCTGGCCGTCGACCCTCTTGGCCGAAGCGGCGACGCCGTGCCGCTGGCGACCGAATCGGTTCGCCAGGAGCGTGCCCACCACGTAGACGAAAAGGGCGAACAGCGCCCATCCGAGCAGCATAACGTTTATGTAGTCCACGGTCTCGAACGACTCGTCGGTGTAGAAGACGAGGGCCAGCCGTTCCACGATATCGTCCCAGCTCACGTTGAGCCAGTGCGTCGTCGGCTGCTTGTTGCCGCTTCTGGAGGAAGATCTCCCCGCCATGGTTCTTGAGAAGGGTCACGACGCCGCGGGGAGAGAGTGACGTAGGCGAGAACAGCGTGCCCGCTCACAAATCGGCGAAGACCAAGGCGCGTGCTGCAAGCGGGCGCGCTATCCGTGATCAAAACGGCCCGCGACGAATCGTCCGCAGCGGCAGGCGACGGCTCCCAGCCCAACCCCTCTCCTCGCCGTCGCCTCTCTTTGCGGCCCTCGCGGTGTAGCTGCTGCTGCTACTTCGGCGCGCAGCACTTCTCGTTGCGGCTCGATTGCTCGCTCGCACACGCGCGCTCCGCCGTGCTGCTGCACTCGTCGGCGCCCGGCGACTCATTCACTTTTGCCGGCGCCCGCCAGGCAGCGCTCAATGCGCTGCGGCTTTGGCTTCAGCTCGTTTCGTAGAGGGAAAGCGCCGTACGAAACAATTACAAGACCGAAACCACTGAGAAGGAGAAAACAGTAGTTTTGAGCTGGATTTAAGAATATTCGAGAGTTCGAGCATGGGTCTGTGCGTTTGTACAGATCATAAAAACCTAGGAATAAAGTTTATCGTCTTCAGAAGGCCGGCGGCCAGGTCATTGCTCAGGCTTATCTACTAACGGACGGTAGATTTGCTGAAAGAGCAACATTTGTCCGAATAGGCTAATTAACGAAAGCGATCGTTCACTTTGTATGTCACAAACGCACGAATTACAAAAAGAAATGAGCGTTGGTCTTAAAGCTCTTGAAACTTCATAAGGCCTTGTTCTGCCATCTCACGGCGAACAGTGAAAGTGTCAGTGGGGTTGATCGGAAATAAATTCTTTGTATGCCTTGTTAGAAAACAGAGCGCGCTGTATAGCGGCCTAGGTTCTATTGCTTCGCGGGTATTTTGTAAGTTATCTGCATAGTAGGCTCCTAAAGAACAGATCTAGTTGTAGGATTGAAAACCAGGTATACTGGCTTGGGGCCGGAACTCTCATCCAAATTTTTTATTCACGTAGAAACCGGGCTGGGATAGCCCCGGGTATATGGTTAAATTTGCATTGGTAATTATTATTTGTTGTTCGCAGAAGCTGGTTGAAATTGTTTCTTAAATCACACTGAAGTGCACCCAATGGGGACGGGTAAACAGGGGCCCGCCTATAGCTGATTGAAAGGAAGGATCATTGTTGAGAAAACAGGTCACTGACCAATGTTCGGATCCAGAAACGTCATTCTTCTTTTGTTTTGTCATTGGTCAGTGGCCTGTTTCTCAAAGAACGACTTTACCTGACCAGAGAGAGTTCCGTCGAACTCTCAACTAAAGGAAAGATGAACGAGCAAAATTCAATTGATTAAAGTTTCAGCTAGTTGCCCATCCTTCGTAAGAATAAACACAGTACATAAAATACCCTATGATTCACTCAACGGCTTGGCCCTGTCACGCATCATGCCAGAATCAACCGCAGTGGCGTCAAGCCTGTAAAATCTCGAGGGGGGGAGCTATATCATGTCTCCATGGCGGCCCTTTTGTTTTTAATAAATACAGGCTTCACTTTTACTTATGTAGTAATCGAAATCATGTTTTCAAACAAAAAGAAGACGAGCATAAGCCTGAGTAGCGTGGCGAACTTAGTTTCCAAGAGTAACATCGTATAGTTATGAGCTCTGCCACAGGGCCGTACCCAGAAATTTTTTTCGGTGGGTGTATATGTGTGAAATGGACAACTTTGGTGACTAGTGGTCAATGTGAAGGCGTTTAAACCCTTTCATATCACCCGAAACGGTAAAGCATGAAAACGTTTTGGGGAGTGCCAGACCTCTTTGAACTCCTAGTTACGGCACTGCCATACCATATCAAGAATTCCGGTAATTATGCAATCAAATAAAATGCTAGCACTTTTATGTGATGCGTGAAAGTAGACATCGTTAACTTCATCTCCACCGCCCACCGTGTATAACTGTCCGCCTCCTGCTATTTACCCCTGGAATCTTTCTTGTAAAACGTGTCTACTGTGCTCACCAATGGTTTTTTTTTTTTTATAACAACACTAGCAATCACATCCATAGTTCATTGTCAATAGCTTCCACCAAGTCACCTGCATAAATGAATAACTTAGATTATCGGGCATTCTTTCTGTACGTTGAGCTTCGAAGTGCGGCACATTTGCGGCGCCTCAGAAGGATTGTGACCTGTAGCATTTCAGAAAGGATGAGCTCAACAGTGCCTTTTGAGCATCTTTCACCCTTTCGAACTTCGTTTGTACTCACTGGAAGAGCTTCAGATTTCAAAATTGATTTTAAGGATGGTGCGCTATAGTTAACTGCGAATCAATTCAAATATGATGTTCTAAAGAACGGAACGTCAAGATGTAAACTTGCAAAGGCTGCCCCCCCCCCCCCCCCAGCCGGAATACAAGCGGGGTTAGAGCCCCCCTAAACCATCATCATTCACGCCACTGATCAGAAGTATCGCGAACAAGCTATCAGCACATGGTGACACAAACGTTGAAAACATTAGCGAAAAAGAATCATATCGCGTTTGATAACATGTCGTGTCATTGACCCGCGAGATACAGATACATTTAAAGAAACACGAGCTGGCGTCACATTCATTTGAACCGTCCAAATTGGCCTGTAGAGGACATTTTTTTTTCCTGGGCAAGTTAATAATAGTAACAATTGATAGGGTTTAACGTCCCAAAACCACCATATGATTATGAGAGACACCGTACTGTATGGGGGGCTCCGGAAATGTTGACCACCTGGGGTACCTTAACATGCACTTAAATAAAATAACACAGACCTCAAGCACTTTTGCCTCTGGGCGAGTTGGTGCGAAAATTTTCTAAACATGTTATTTGTGGCTCAAATGGAAAGGGAAGGAAAAACAGACAGATGAGCGCTCATCTGTCCCGTTTTCGTTTCCTTTCCAGTCTTCATATTCCAAGTTTTGGGCCACAAATAGCCTGTTCAGTAAGCATAGGCCTGCTCAGGGTTCTCCTTTGTGGAGAAGTTGGGTGAGGGAGCAGGTTTTACCGCAGCGCCTTCGCCCCCCCCCCCCCCCCCCACGTCCACCCCTGTTGGTCGAGTACGAAAGCAAGCAAACTCTACAATGTATGCAGAAAGGATTGACTTGCGCCTTTCCAGGGGGTAATGGTATGAAGCAAAAAAAGTTCTTTCGATGCTACGTCAGGGGTCGTCGGTCGCCATTATCGTCGAAAAAACGTGTATCGCCATAACCCCGCACATTAAACAAAGACAAGGGTCCGACCACCAATACCCGGCTTTTACATGCAGTCACTCACCCATTTTTTCCTTGTCTGACATGGCTATCCCGCGCGATCGACTGAGTACACTTTCCTTCATTTTGTGTGCTGCTTCCGACTGTGCAAGCGGAGATATGGGCGCATATAGCCGACAAGCGTCCAATAGCGATAGGCTCAATGCTCAGTACTTTCGCTGTGCGCGTGATTTGTGAAGAAATGTGTGGCCAAAGGAGATACCACTTATGGGAAGGGTAGTGAAGGCGAGAAAGGAACCAGTCGTTCGCCTGTGAACTTGACATGCGTTTATAGGGACCCTTCAAGAACCCACTGGCATAATAGGCGCGGACGCGCTGCGTATGTATAAGTTGACACTATCGGGGCTCGTTTCTCTGCGTAAGGAAGTACTTCACAGTCATGTTGGTCCGTGTGTGTGCACGCCATTGATAATTGCAGCGTGGCGTCATTGCGCTTAAGTCCGCTCCTTCTGAGCAAATTCGTTTAAAGCACATTCCGTGACATATGATGCTTTATTTATCTTGCTTAACCGTGACTGCTTTCGAAATGATAGCAGTCACGTTATTTCAATGTTTTTTTTTTCTTTTTCAAGCGTTGGCACACCATGGGGCGATAGCTTGTTTCCAATGAATGGTGATTCTGAATGTGACGTACTGCGCCACATGTGTACTGAGCATTCGTCGTATGGCCACACGCAACAATAGCAGAAGCTCATGTGCTGCTTTATTTAGTGCAGCCACGGTGGTCAAGTGGTTACGGAAGTCGATCACTGGCCTGAAGGTCGCGCGGGATCAAATCCCGGCCCCAATTTTCTATACGGATGTGAAAATGTTTGAGGCCCGTGTGCTTAGATTTACGTGCGCATTAAAGAACCCCCAGTGGTTGAAACTTCCGGAGCCTTGGATACGGCGTTCCTCATAACCATGTGGTGGCTTTGGGACGCTAAACACCCTCCCCCCTCAATAAATTTTATAAAATTATTTACTAGCATTAGCGTACTCTTTCAGTTTACCCGAGGCTTGACGCCATCCTGGGTATACATAGTGGAAAGTTTGGCCATAGATAGGGCCACTAATCGCTAAACTCCAGGCATTCATATGCTCAGCTAAGTAAATCGTCTCTCGAACAGCTTTTGCTAAATATGGCACTTTCAAATCTAGAGGGGTGGAAGGTACTAAAATTACTAGTATAGGCGCGGCAACTACCATATCTTAAGCTCGTTTGGTGGTGGAGTGGTTACCTTCTGAATCTAGAGCGGGAAGTCGAACAGCCGCTGAGATTCACTGAAGAAGCAATAGCCTATATTTAGTTACACGGCGATGAAGTCGGGAACTGCTAAAATTTGCGCACAGTTGTGGTTCTGATTGCGATTAAAATGGGCCTTGCGATTCTGAAGACAGTGAGCCATGCAGTGCGCGCGTTGGAAGGGGGTACATTTTGCAGCGCTAGCAATGTCGATACGTTTTACGAGAATAAAAACTGACAAAATCTGAAAAGAAATAAAGTTTTATTCTAAAGAGGTGAGTTCTTACTCTGACATATGAAGGGAATATGCACAGATTGAATCAGTCTTAGATATGAATAGATGAGTGATTCTTAAGAGAGAAAGGAAGAGAAAAGTGAGCCCCGTTACTGTCTGCTTCAGTGAGCGACACCTCAACAGTAGCTCACAAGGGATGGGGGTGAGGAGGGATACAAAGGGGTAGGAGTAAAGGTGTAGAAAAGAGGAAGAAGAAGCGACAACAAACTGAGGGTATAGGAGAGATAGGAAAAATGGAAGCACGGTCACTGGAGTCCGAGGACGGGGCACACTTGCGAGAGCTCTTGTCGGCGTCGGTAGATGGCGTAGAGCAAGTCCAGTAAGTCAGAGCTACACTGTCGTCGAGGGTCGTCGGCGGCAGGAGGTGACGTATAGGGCGAGCCCAGTCGGCCAGAGCTACGCTGACACCGGAGATCGCAAGCGCGCGGAGCACGTGGGCGCACAACCGGTCGGCACGGAATCCAGCAAGCGACTCCACCTCGACTGACGGAGCGAGAAATCAGATACGAATAGAATCCGCCTC